TTGCTTCTGAGATACGCGGGATAAAGTCCAGAGTCGAAAATATACGTCAAAGATACCAAGACAGATTTATTATCTCTGAGCATGGATCAAGCTCCACCATTGTCAACAACACGTGGTGTGATCGTCGAGGTGATGCACTTCTACTGGAAGAAGCTGAGCTTGTGGGGATGGACGGGCCCAAGAGGGAGCTGATTGGGTGGCTTGTGAAGGATGCTCCGGAGCTCAAAGTTGTATCGGTGGTGGGGATGGGGGGAAATGGGAAAAACCACTCTGGTAAAGAAAGTTTATGATGATGCAGAGGTGAAGACTCATTTTCGATGCCATGTTTGGATCACTGTTTCTCAATCCTTCGATCTCAAGGAGCTTCTCCAAGACTCGATTCGACGACTTTTTTATGAAGCCAAACAATCAGCACCTCAAGGATTGGAAACTATGGACAGCAATAGCTTGAAAGCACAAATCAAAGATTTCCTTGATGATGATGTATGGAGTATAAGCACATGGGATGCTCTAAAATATGCATTGCCTGACAACAATAGTGGCAGCCGGATACTGCTCACTACACATATTGGTAGTGTAGCTTTTATGTCTTGCGTAGAACCCCATGGCAACATTTATACTATGAAACCGTTGTCCCCATAAGAGTCTTGGACTCTGTTTTGTAGGAAGACATTCCTAGACACCTACTGCTGTCCTCCACATTTAGAGGAACTCTCACGAATTATCTTGAAAAAGTGTGAGGGTTTGCCACTTGCTGTTGTGGCAATTATTGGTGTTTTGGCTACGAAAAACAAAAGTGGAATGCATGAATGGGATTTGGTTTACCGTAGCCTTGGCGCTCAATTAGAAGGCAAAGACAAACTTGAGAATATGAAAAAGATACTCTCTCTCAGTTACTACGATTTGCCATACTATCTGAAAATATGTTTCTTGTACTTGGGTATATTCCCAGAGGATTACAAGATTGAGCACATGAGACTGATCCGATTGTGGATCGCGGAAGGATTTGTGGAAGGGAGGGGGGGAATGACAATGGAAGAAGTTGCTGAAAGCTACCCCAATGAGCTTATTAATAGAAGCTTGGTCCAAGTGGCAAAGATAGACGATGTTGGAGGGCTTAGAGAGTGTCGCATCCATGACGTTTTCTGTGAAGTAATTACTTCAAAGTCAAGAGAACAAAACGTTGTTGCAATAGTCAGCAAAGAAAGCACAACATGGCAGGAAAAAGTTCGTCGTCTATGAATCCACTATACTGTGGGGAACTTGCAGCATACAAATCATTTTTCTCAACTTCGTTCATTGCTCACGTTCTCGGTGGCAGAACCTATATCCAAGTCATTGATGCCTATATTATTCAATGGTGGGTTAGGTTGTTGAAGGTTTTGGACCTGAGAGGTGATTCTTTAGAGACACTTCCGGATGAAATTGTCAAACTATTTCATCTTAGGTATTTAAGCTTGAGGGGAACAAATGTTAAAATGCTTCCGAAATCCATCTCTAAGCTTGAAAACCTTGAAACTTTGGATCTCAAAGGCACCTACGAAACCGAGCTGCCTATTCAGATCCTAAAGCACCAACAACTTCGTCATCTCTTGGTGTATCGTTATGGTAAAGCTTATCCCATTTATGATTTATATGTTTTTAAAGCGATACTGGGAATAGAAGGTTTGTCTTCCCTCTAAAAACTTTGTTTTATCGAAGTGAACCACAACAATTGTGGGATTGTAGCGGAAAGCTAGGGAGACTGACACAGCTAAGGAGATTGGGGATTACAAAGTTGAAAAGGGAAGATGGGGTGGCTTTGTGCTCCTCTCTTGAAAAACCTGAGCAACCTTCTCGCATTGTTTGTACATTCTGTAGAAGAGGACAAGATCATTGACATTCAACACTTGTCTTCTCCTCCCCGGTTTCTTCAACGGCTATATTTGAAGGGACGTTTGGAAATGTTGCCGCTTTGGATAACTTCTCTTCATAACTAGGTGAAATTACGGCTTTTGTATAGCAAGTTAAGGTATGATCTATTGCAGTACGTTCAATATTTGCCCAATGTGGTAGAAATTTCACTTCATCGGGCTTATGAAGGGGAGGAATTGTGTATCAATGCGGCGGGTTTCCAGAAGTTTAAGATATTATGGCTTGCATGATTAGAGGGATTGAGGTGGGTGAGAATGGAAAAGGGATCAATGCCTCATCTTGAAAAGTTGAGTTTTGAGGATTGTCAGTTGGTAGAAGAGATACCCATGGGCATTGAACATCTGATGAACCTTAAATCTCTCAAGCTCTATAATATGTCAAATAAATTGATTATGACATTGAATCGAGACAAAACAAGCGGGGATTATTGGAAAATGTCACACATCCCCAAGATTTGGATTGGAAATTTCCTAAATGGTCGTTGGGAAATATATTTTCTATAGGTTAATTGACATTTGGATTTTTTTTTTTTTTTTTTTGGCCCTTCTTAAGCAATAAGATGTATGTTTTGTTACAAGGGAAAAATGTATATATATAATTTGCATTAGCATATTGGATTTCTTATTTAGAACAAAGAAATATTTAAACAAAGTCCAAAGAGTATTACTTATTCTGCATTTGTTATGGTTATAGAGATTATTTTCTCAAGTTGTCAATGAGTATGAGGATTTACCAACGGGTCAGTGGTTTAGCGGTATTAGACTCCAATTTTTTAAAAGGAGGTCGTGGATTCATACGTCAGTAGAAACATGTGTGTGAGTACCAATTGAGAGAGAGAGAGAGAGAGAGAGGGGGGGGTATGAGGATTTTAGTTAAAAGATGAAAAGCAATTTATGTGAATGAAATGTGCATCCTGTTCGGCTAGCACTGATGTTGCTCGCATCACAACATGACTCATGAGCTCAAAGGCCATACCAGATTGGGTTGGCGTGGCCTACATCCTTCAAGCCCAAACTCACCCCACTATGCTGGGTTTAGAATAATTTCTGAAGTGGCAGGCCACGTTGGTGGGCCACAAACATATTATTTATTGTTTTTGGACTTATAATTAATTATTTTATTTATATTATACGATTGATAAATGAAATGGTGACTCTATTAGTTATTTTTGTAAAAAAAATATTTGGAGGATAAATTCTTGTAGTGCTTAACTAATAAGAGTTTATCTTTATTTATTGATATATATATATTTTTTGGGGAGGAAATATAAGAGAGTGGTGATTGAGAAGATGATTGGAAATTTTTTGAGAATTTATAATACAAGGGTCCTACTCTTGTAGTCATGTAATTTTTAAAAATCTCGTTTAGAGATCTCACAAAAAGTCTCTAATGATATGATCATAGCGGTATTGAATCAATTTTTTGGATTAGGAAAATACCCACATGCTCACAACTGCCCCTATGAAGATTGAACCCCAAAGAGGAGAGGAGAGATTCAAGCCTGAACGTGGGCAAAAAGTGTCTCTCTCACCAAAGGTCACTGTGAGGATCAAGATCCACCTATTTTAATCAATTTGATTCTTCGCTCTGAATTCCAACGCCATAACATGGACAATAATGGGTGGTTAGTTGTTGGTCGGGATATTCAACCCTTTTGAGTTGTCCTGCATTGCCCCTCTCATTTCTCTTTTTTATGACTCTCAAGTCTGCTTCTATTTCCATCCATGGGACAAGAATTCTATCAAAATAGATATGGGTCTTGCTTTCCGGATGCCTTTTCTAAATGGTTTTTTTTGCTTCTGGTTATTGTTGATGTTCTATCTGCTAGTTTTACCGGCCATTTACGAGATATCATACAACAAAAAACTTGAATAAAGTTGACACATTTAGTTGCATGACATCTTATGATTGGCTATATTACCACGTAGTCTCGGACCACCTAATAATTTTTCCCGGACCCACCTAATAAAAAAGGGTCCACAACTAAAACTAAAATATCATGGTAGAAATGATAGTTTCACTCGTCTGACACACTAGAACTAGAACCACTCTTCTAATAACATTATATCAACAGATTTTATTTCCTTGAAAAAGTTATAGATTTAAACTCTGTTTGTTTGGACGTAAAATATTTTTCAGAAAATATTTTTTTATTTTCTGATGTTTGGTTATCGTAAAATATTTATGAAAAAATATATATTAAAATTTTAAAAAAAATAATTTATTCATAAATTTTCGATAAGTTGTTATACATATCTCGTCCGATGAACTTGATCTCAATCTCGACGTAAATCTTTACTAAACACGAACAAAATAATATATATATATATATTTGTAAATTTCAAAAAGAATATTTTACAGAAGCCTTAAACAAAAATGTCAACACTTTAATTTGAATTTTTTCATTAGTGCACACACTTAAAGCATCAAATGAGTAATACTACATTTTTTTTCCCACTGTTCTCTCTCTTGCAGCCGCCCAGCCCTTCCATTTTGCTCCCTGCTTCCTTCCATGGGAGTGGGGAGGTGACCTTGCATGCCTCTCATAGGTTAATAATATCGGCGTGTCATAATAAGTTCGCCCTGTATGTAGTTTTTCACGTCGTTTTTTGTTTTTGTACGGTTAAATCTGCTTTTGTTTGATTTGTTTCTGACTCGACAGGGTAGATCTATTGTTTTTCCTTCGGCTAGATCTCTGATCTAGGTCGATTTTTGTTTTTCCCTGACTTGATTTGATCTTGTGCGGGGTTGGATGTGTGGAGGCGTGGATGCAGTTTCGGAGCTGTTGCCTTGTTGATGGCTGACCTTTAGTCACTCCAGTTGCTGCTCTTCTCCCTTGGTAGTTTCCGTTTTTAGAGTTTTTCTTACCAAATCTGAAGTATGTTCTTCATTTTATTGTATTGCTTCATGATTTGTATATCTTTATTTGGCTTGGCTTATGCCTTTATACTGCCACCTCGGCTTGGCCTTTGTGCCTAAAAAATAAATAAATAAATAAAAAGGAGGAGGAGGATGATACGGCATTCATATAGGACATTAAATGTATAGTTTTAATTCGTGAGAAATCATTTATTATACTATAGAATTTTGAAAAGATGTGGCCTAAAAATTAACTCAGTACACGAAGGACCTACTTCCATTGTCTAAGCCACGCATTGCTTCTGCTATGGAAAAAAGAGAAGGAAGACTTTGACTACCAGGTCTCCTTCCTCTAGAGAGAAGAGAACTGAAAACTGTGTCTTGCATCTTCATCAATTTATACTTTGTAAAGATCCAAGTTTGTGTCCAAGCTAAGACTCTTTACTCACAACCAGGTTGGGATCTATCTTCTTTCCTATTAATTTCCCTTTGTAAAATTTCTTTAGCTTTCTTAAATCTGATTTTGTGAAGTACATATATATATATATATTTGGTTAGTCTTTATGTATTTGTGCAATTATTTATTCCGTAATACCTAGTAGTTGGGATACACAAATAGGCAATATATATTTATCCTGTATAATTAATAAGTTGATTTAGAAAAATATTATTAGTTTTACAAAAATTTAGTCAATCCACCATATTAATCATAAGATAGGGTTAGTGTGAGTAAATTGTTTAGGATATCTTTTTCATTAATTGATTGCTTTGAAGATAATTAAAGGCGATTTTATTATTAATATTATTATTATTGTTTAGGCAATATAAATTTTTCCTGTATAAATAAGTTGGTTTAGGAAAATATTATTAGTTTTACAAAAATTTAGTCAATCCACCATATTAATCGTAAGATGGTTAGCGTGAGTAAATTGTTTAGGATATTTTTTCATTAATTGATTGCTTTGAAGATAATTAAAAACAGAATTTTTTATATATTTTTTTTATTTTCTTCTTTTGCAAAAGGTGAAATTTCTCCATTCAACTACATGACATGAATTTATATAGTATTAAATGTTTATTATTTTTTAGTAAGCAGCTAGAAATTAATAAACTAGACTTTTACTTCTTCTAGTTGGAAAAAACAATATATATTCTTGTTTGGGGCATATAAATAAAATATGGAAATGATTAGGCAGTTTGTATATAAATAAGTTTATTTAGGAAAATATTATTAGTTATACGAAATTGATGATGACTGATGATAAGATGGGTGGGTTAGTGTGAGTAGGATATATTTGTTATTAATTAATTGCATGGTTTGAAGATTAATTAATTTTGTAATTATTAGGTTCGCTGCTGTTTCTACATACTTATGGGCACCTCATTAAGCATACCGAAATTGAGAAGTAGAGCCACCTCAGAAGAAGGCTCAGAGGAAAAGGAGAGAAATATGTTGCGCAATGGAGGCATGTTATTGGAAGAGCTGCTCCATTCATGTGATGGAAAATATAATCCCTTCCCAATTTTCTCAGCTCAAGACCTTGTAATTGCAACCAATCACTACTCTCACCTATTTTGCGAAGATTATCGTTCGTACAAGATCTACAGGGGTTCCTCCAATGGCCGTCCAATACTTGTCAAGTCTTATTACAAGTATATAGAAAATGGTATTAATGATATTGTGTTTGCATCACAGTTAAACAACCACAACAACATACACATGCTCTTGGGCTGCTGCCTTGAAACTGAATATCCGATCCTAGTGTTTGAGTATCCAGAAAATGGACTTCTTTCTGATCATATATTTGGCGATCATCATCATCAGCCACTACCTTGGGATTGTAGGTTGAAGGTTGCCAAGGAGGTTGCTGATGCTTTGGCGTATCTCCACACTGGGTTGTCCATGCCCATCATTCACAGGCACGTAAAACCATTAAACATATATTTAGATGGAAATTATGTTGCCAAGCTATCAGATTTTAGTTTGTCTGTATCAATTCCTCCAGGGGAGGAGTACGTAGAAACACTTCGTGTGGAAGGGACTATTGGATATTTGGCTCCAGAATACTTCCAAACAAGTCGAGCTACTGAGAAGTGTGATGTTTACTCTTTCGGATCGCTATTGATTGAAATTTTGTCAGGAGAAGAGATTATGTATTTCCGATTGCCTAGCATGATAGGGGACAAGCCAGATATTGATTCTATTTTGGCATCATGTGGTGCCTTCCTGGAAGAGGAGGACATGCCACAACTTGATCAATTTATTATTGAGAGAGCTACAAACTATATGGGAGCAGATATCACTTTGGAAGATCAATACAAGCTTTCAATGGCATGGAGACTTGCATCCAAATGCCATAGTAGAAATCCAGAGGAGAGGCCAACAATGACGCAAGTAGCAAAAGAGATTAGAAGGATTATCAAATTTCAATCAATCTCTCCCACCACCCATCATGCTTGTTGAATTGTGAGCTTGCTTCTTTCACATTAAAACTGATGAGATAGATGCCTTCGAGTTTTTTAAGAAGAAGAAGAAGAATTCATTAATCCCAATATGTGTGTGAAATTTTATGTCTATTTCTAGATTACATTGAAAGGGATTTTATTTCAATTTATTATGAATATTGGGATGTGTATTAAATATGGACCAAATGTTATTTACATCATTTAGAGATCTAAAAAAAGACTTCTATTTATAGTATTGAGTTGGTCATGGCAGTATTGAATCAATTTTTTGGGTTAGGTATAAATACCCACATTTTTGGGTTAGGTATAAATATCCATACGCTTTCATAAGTGCTCCCTTTGAAGATCGAACCCATCCTCAAAGAGGGGGGAGAGATTCAAGCCCCGGGCAAAAATTGTATGCCTCTCTTGCCAAAGAAAATTTAAAATAAAAATAAATAAATAAATGGAGATCCAACCCCACGCTTTTGAGGGAGGCCAATAGGGCCCATGGCCCCGTTGTATCTTCTGTTTGGAAAAGTTTCAAACTCGAGAAATCAAAACTTTACAATATTTTACTATCATTTATTTCTCTCCACAATACTCTACAATTTATCCACAAATGAGAGTTCTCTTATTGCGTGTATGTGCTCTGCAAATTGCGGAGAATGACATTGAGCTCGATAATTTTTGGAACTTTACTTCTACTCAATTTGATTATATTAATTTTTTGTCCGGCAATAAAAGTTTTAGACCTTTTAAAGTATTTCATTGTCCACTGTATATCTGACATATACAATTTTTTTCTTTCTTGGAAGACGTATACAATTGTCTATCCTACAAATAAAGGTCAAAATTATTATACTAATTCTTTGAAGATGGTGCTAAGAGAATTCAAACTCCACCAGACCTTTAAGAATTAGAAAATGATTGTTACACCTAAGAATTGTTAAATCTATTCTTTTTAATTAGTTATTTATGCAACAAATAAGAAAGGATTCTCTACTTACTTGTTTTTAATATAAATAATTAATAAAAAAATATTTAGTTAGATAATTCACTGCATGTTAGATAATTCAGTGTAAGTATTGGGTGTGAGTATCACTATTCTTTAAGAATTTTAAGTAGAAGAGGGGTCCCACATGCAGTAGATAATTTCTTTTTCAGAAATTCTTATTTTATTATTGTTATTTTTCCTTTCTTAATTTTATTGAATTAATTTGTTTTGTTTAGTGTCACAAAAAAAATAAAAAAAATTGTTTTACTTAAATTATATTGCTCATTCGGATACTAGTGTCATTCATATTGATGTCTTATTTACTGATGTACCATTCAGCGCTATTCATTGACGTATTATTCATTGTTTTGACTCAGAATATAATTTGATGTATTATTTTTAGTGTCTTGTATAGAATACATAAAAATTCCCTAACAATTTAAAGTCATAAAGCCTTTTGTTTTATATAATTCAAAACCTTTATATATTAATTATTTAAAAGAAAAACTGTTTATAATTGAAAAGAAAAAATTCAATAAGGATTTTACAAGTACAAAAACTGTGTAATCGGTAATAAATGAGATTCCCAATTTACTAAAATAAATAAAAAATAAATAAAACCGCCATGAAGAAGAACAAGTTGTTCTTTAAACAACACCAAGAAGTTAAAAAGTTATAAACTTATAAGCATTTTATCTCAGCGAAGGAGAAAAAATATATGCGTAGTATCACTGATGAAATAAATTAGTTTAAAATTTTGTTTTAATATAATGTTTACAAAAGCTGTTTTATATATGAAAAAAATTAAAAATCACTGATCAATTGCGGTCTATAAGAGTGGTCTAATAGTCATAAAACTCAAATTAACCAAGATGCAAATTAACGAATTTGCATAATAGTCATTCATATAAGAAATGGCTAAAGAAGGAAGATAATTCTGTTTGGAAGGGGAAAATTGTTGACTAATTATAAAATTAAACAATACTCTAAATTAAATTAAATGTGTGAACACCGGCATAAGTAGAATGATATGATCTTATCACTATGAGTACTAATTGGGAGTCCGATTGTAGACCACGTCAATTAATTTTATATGAGTAGGAGTTGATGTCACGATGATATCGATTCTTACTTATATAAATTAGTCAAAGTTATCCGACTTTCGAACTTTAAATCATTATTGTATCACTATCGATGTGTATATTTTATCATTTAAATAGATGTGCGAATAGTTTTTGGCATTTTAAAGTCAAAGGACGAGGTTGAAGTCCTTATAGAGACAGTGAGTGTATGAGTTTCTTAAATGGATATTTGAAAAGTCAAGTGTATAAGAGTATTGAAGGTTATTACTAGTGGCCTTGAAAAGGGCTTTGTTGCCCCTAATCTTGGTTGGGCTTTGTTGTCTTGATTTATTTGGTTTGCCTATCTAGTCCCTTTGTAGTCTTTTGGCTCGTTAGGGAGGAAGTATTCAGTGTACCCACCATAATCCAGGGGCAGAGGGAGGGTTAGGCCAGGGGTGGCCATGGCTCTCCCAAAATTTTTGAAATTTTTTTTAGTATAATCTAATAAAAATTTAATATACATAATTTCATATTTGGGCCCCAAGAAATTTTTTTGGAATAGGCCTTATAGGCTTTCTCTTTCTTTTTTTATTTTATTTGTGACCCATTGTTTCGAAATTGAAAGCAGAGGAATTTTATTCAAAATTTGAATTAAATTTTCTTTAATTTCAATCACAAAGCGCGGAATTAGTGCTTTAAAACGTAACATTATTTTCAACCATCTTTGCCTATCATGGGATCACAAAAACAAGGGGGTTACGAAATAATTCAAGTTTTATATTTAAACTCTAGATTATGTTAGCTCGTATGATTCATTAGGTTGCCTGAGGAAGGATTGTGATCCCCCACTAATGCCTCTGCTAGTCTGACCCCAAATTAAAATCCATTAAATTAACTTGAAAACTCAATTTTGTATGTGTGTGTGTGTGTGTGTGAATATATATCTATATTGCAGTTACTATATACTATGTAACTTGAAGCTACTCATAATAACTCATCCTGTCCAACTTTCTACCCAGCTAAGTGCCAAATTTCTTACTAATTGTCATTTTGGCCTTGAAATTGCTCTTAAAAAAAAAAAAGGTACTAAATTTAATTGTGTTGGAATTTAATATAGCCCAAAAGTTGATGATGCACTAAAGGACTAGACTTGTGTGGCACTTACAAAATTAAAATAAATAAATAAAATTTAAGAACTCAAAAAATAGAAAACAGTTTTGAGAGAATTATAAAAGACAATTCAACAAAATGAATTGATTCGACAACTTTTTGATGAAGTCATTTTCAATACGATGTTTGGATAAGTGTTTCTCAATCCTTTGATTTCAAGGAGCTTCTCAAAGACTTGATTCGACAACTTTTTGATGATGTCGAGCAGCCGGCACCTTATAGATTGGAAACTATGGACAACAATAGCTTGAAAGCAAATATCAAAGATTTCCTTCAACAGCGAAGGTATGTGCTTGTTCTAGATGATGTATGGAGTAAAAATGAATGGGATGCTCTAAAATATGCATTGCCCGATAACAATAGTGGTAGCCAGATACTGCTCACGACCCGCATTGTTGATGTAGCTTCTACGTCTTGTGTAGAATCTCCTGATCACATCTATACTATGAAATCATTGTCCCCAGAACAGTCTTGGACTTTGTTCCGTAGGAAGACATTCCAAGGCAACCATTGCCCTCCACATTTAGAGAAACTCTGACAAAATATCTTAGAAAAGTGTGAGCGTTTGCCACTTGCAATTATGGCAATTAGTGGTGTTTTGGCTACGAAAGACAATAGTACAGCCCAATAATGGGAATTGTTTCACTGTAGCCTTGGCGCTCAGTTAGAAGGCAACGACAAACTCGAGAATATAAAAAAGATACTCTCTCCATACTATCTGAAAATTTGTTTCTTGTACTTGGGTATATTCCCCAAGGGTTACAAGATTGAGCGAATGAGACTGATCTGACTATGAATCGCAGAAGGATTTGTGGAAGTGAGAGGGGGAATGACGATGGAAGAAATTGCTGAAGGCTACCTCAATGAGCTTATTAATAGAAGCTTGGTCCAGGTGGCAAAGATCAGGGGCGGAGCCAGGAATTTGGTTCAGGGGGAGCATGTTAGCACTGACAAAATAAATTTTTTCAAACATGCCTAAAATATAATAATGTAACAACAGTGGAAGAAAAAAAATAAATAAGAAGAGAAAAAAGAAAAAGAAGATTAATTGCACATACATTATGCATGAGTGGAAGAAAAAATAAATTTTTAAGAAGAAAAAGGAATTTTTTAAGAAGAAAATAAAATAAAAATTTATATATGAGAGAATTTTAAAGGAAAAAATAGACTTTAATTGTAGAAAGAGAATATAAAAATTTTTGAAGGCGACAAAAAGAAATTTAAAGAATAATAAGGAAAAGGAATAAAGAATTAAAGACATTTTTAGAAATAGATAATTTTATGGGGGATAATTTTATAAATTTTATGGGGATATTTTATAAATATTTATAAATTATATGCATAAAATAAAATAAAATTTAATGGATAGGGGCCATTTTATTAATTTTAGGGGGGGCATTTTATCAATTTTTACAAATTTATGTATAAAAAATTCTATTGGGCAGCATGGGCAGGGGGGCAGCCTGGGCACATGCTGCCTCTGCCCCTGGCAAAGATAGACGATGTTAGAACTTGGAAGGCTTAGAGAGTGTCGCATCCATAATCTTTTCCGTGAAGTAATTACTTCAAAGTCAAGAGAACAAAACGTTGTCACAATAGTCAGCAAAGGAAGCACAACAGGGCCGGAAAAAGTTTGCCGCCTGTCAATACACTTTACCGTGGGGAACTTGCAGCATACAAATCATTTTTCTCAACTTCGTTCATTGCTCATGTTCTCAGTGGCAGAACCTATATCCAATTCATTGATGCGTATATTATTCAATGGTGAGCTGCCTATTCAAATCCTAAAGCTTCAACAACTTCGTCATCTCTTGGTGTATCATTATGGTAAAGCTTATCCCGTTTACGATTTATATGGTTTTAGAGTGGGATTAGAAGGTTTGTCTTCCCTCCAAAAACTTTGTTTCATGGAAGTGAACCACAACAATGGTAAAATTATGTATATATATAATTTGCATTAGCATATTGGATTTCTTATTTAGAACAAATAAATATTTAAACAAAGCCCAAAGATTATTACTTATTCTGCCTTTGTTATGATTATAGAGATTATTTTCTCAAGTTGTCAATGAGAGTATTGAGGATTTTAGTTAAAAGATGAAAAGCAATTTATGTGAATGAAATGTGCACCCTGTTGGGCCAGCACTGATGTGGAATGGACTCTGTTGCTCGCATCACAACATTGGGCTGGTGAGGCCAACATCCTTCAAGCCCAAACTCACCTACTATGCTGGATTTAAAATAATTTCTAAAGTGGCAGGCCATGTTAGTGGGTCACAAATATATTATTTATTGAATTTGAAGTTATAATTAATTATTTTATTTATATTATACGATTGATAAATGAAATGGTGACTCTATTAGTTATTTGAAAGGAAAAAAAAAAAAAAAAAAAAAAAAAATTGGAGGATAAATTCTTGTAGTGCTTAACTAATTAGAGTTTATTTTTATTTATTTATATATATATATATTTTTGGGGAGGAAATATAAGAGAGTGGTGACTGGAAATTATATGAAAATTATAATACAATGGTCCAACTCTTGTAGTCATGTCATTTTTTAAAATCTCGTTTAGAGATCTCACAAAGACCTCTAATTATATTGAGTTGGTCATGGCGATATTGAATTAATTTTTTGGGTTAGGTAAATACCCACACACTCACAAGTGCCCCTATAAAGATCGAATTCCAAAGAAGAAGGGAGAGATTCAAACCCGAATGTGGGCAAAAAGTGTCTCTCTTGCCAAAGCTCACTGTGAGGATCAAGATCCACCTATTTTAATCAATTTGATTCTTGGCACTGTGAGGATCAAGATCCACCTATAATAGGTGGTTACTTGCTGGTTGGGATATTAAACCCTTTTGAGGTGTCCTGCATTGCCTTCTCTTTTCTCTCTTTTTTATGACTCTCAAGTCTGCTTCTACTTCCATCCATGGTTGTATTTAAGAAATTAAGCAGTTGACAAGAATTCTATCAAAATTGATATGGGTCTTGCTTTCATGATGCCTTTTCTAAATGGTTGTTTTTTGCTCCTGGTGGTTGTCGATGTCTGGAAGCTAATGTAGTTTCTATCCTGCTTGTTCTATCGGCCAAATCACAAGATATCGTACAATAAAAATCTGAATAAAGTTGACACGTTTGGTTGCATGACATCTTGTGATTAACCATATTGCCACATAGTCTCGGACCACCTAATAATTTCTCTCCGGACCACCAAATAAGGAGGGTCCACAACTAAAACTAAAACATCATGGTAGAAATGATAGTTTCATAAATCTGACACACTAGAACCATTATTCTAATAAAATTAGAGGGATGCTAGCGTCAGTCGCCTAATCAGTCGCGTAACGTGGCAGCATTTTATTGGTCCCTGAAGGAGCAGAAAGTGGATTGGGCTTCGTAGTAGTCAGTCCACTCTATCCAGAGCATTATTGGGCCTTCGATCCACTTCAAAATGACCCACCAGGCCCAATGATCAAAACCGCCATTCCCAGGCCCGATCTCTTCAACATTACAAGGCAGACCAGTATCCACTATGGCCCGAAGGTTAGAGCCCGCTTGATATCAGCCCAGTTGGAGGGTGTTAAGAGGGCAGTTAGGGCAAATGTGCAGTTCTATAAAATTCCCCTTCTTCCCCTTCACTGTCTCTCACCCTGTTCTCCTTCACCTATTAATTCCCCATGTAAAATTCCCCTTCAAAGCTGTGTGTTCAATCTTCATCAATTTATACTTTGTAAAGATCTAAGTTTGTGTCCGAGACTCTTTACTCACAACCAGGTTAGGATCTATCTTCTTTCCTATTAATTTCCCTTTGTAAAATTTCTTTAGCTTTCTTAAATCTGATTTTTGTGAAGTATATATATATATATGTGTGGTTAGTTTTTATATATTTGTGCAATTATTTATTCTGTAATAACTAGTAGTTGGGATACACAAATCCTACCACAATACATGTGAGTTATTGATAAGGGTATTTTATTTTTTTGGTTAATGGAAATTAAAATTATTAGGCAATATATAATTTTCCTGTATAAATAAGTTGGTTTAGGAAAATAATAGTAGTTTTACAAAAATTTAGTCAATCCACCATATTAATCATAAGATGGTTAGCGTGAGTAAATTGTTTAGGATATTTTTTCATTAATTTTTTATATATATTATATTCTTGTTTGGGGTATATAAATAAAATATGGAAATTATTAGGCAGTATATACATATGTTTATTTAGGAAAATATTATTAGTTATACGAAATTGGTGATGATTAATGATAAGATGGGTTAGTGTGAGTAAACTTGTTTAGGATATATTTAATTAAGTAATTAATTAATTGCATGGTTTGAAGATAATTAAGGAACAATTAATTTTGTAATTACTAGGCTGGCTACTGTTTATTTATGGGCACCTCATTAAGCATACTGAAATTGAGAAGTAGAGTCTCAAAAAAGGAAAAGGAGAGAAATATGTTGCGCAATGGAGGCATGTTATTGGAAGAGCTGCTCCATTCATGTGATGGAAAATATAATCCCTTCCGAATTTTCTCAGCTCAAGACCTTGTAATTGCAACCAATGGTTGGTACAAGAGCAACAAGATCTACAAGAGTTCCTCCAATGGCCGTCCAATACTTGTCAAGTCTTTTTACCACGACAATAAAGAATATGGTATTAATGAAATTGTGTTTGCATCACAGTTAAACAACCACAACAACATACACATGCTCTTGGGCTGCTGCCTTGAAACTGAATGTCCGATCCTAGTGTATGAGTATCCAGAAAATAGAGCTCTTTCTGATCATATATTTGGCGATCATCAACAGCTACTACCTTGGGATTGTAGGTTGAAGGTTGCCAAGGAGGTTGCTGATGCTTTGGCGTATCTCCACACTGGGTTGTCCACGCCCATCATTCACAGGCACGTAATACCAACAAACATATATTTAGATGGAAATTATGTTGCCAAACTATCAGACTTTAGTTTGGCTGTGTCAATTCCTCCAGGGGAGGAGTACGTAGAAACACGTGTTCAAGGGACTGTTGGATATTTGGCTCCAGAATACTATTCAACAAGTCGAGCTACTGAGAAGTGTGATGTTTACTCTTTCGGATCGCTATTGATTGAAATTTTGTCAGGAGAAAAGATTATTTCTTTACGAATGCCTAGCATGGAAGAGGACGAGCCAGATATTGATTCTATTTTGGCATCATGTGGTGCCTTCCTGGAAGAGGAGGACATGCCACAACTTGATCAATTTATTATTGAGAGAGCTACAAACTATATGGGAGCAGATATCACTTTGGAAGATCAATACAAGCTTTCAATGGCATGGAGACTTGCATCCAAATGCTGTAGTGAAAATCCAGAGGGGAGGCCAACATGACGCAAGTAGCAAAAGAGATTAGAAGGATTATCAAATTTCAATCAATCTCTCCCACCACCCATCATGCTTGTTGAATTGTGAGCTTGCTTCTTTCACATTAAAACTGATGAGATAGATGCCTTCGAGTTTTTTAAGAAGAAGAAGAAGAATTCATTAATCCCAATATGTGTGTGAGATTTTATGGCTATTTCTAGATTACATTGAAAGGGATTTTATTTCAATTTATTATGAATATTGGGATGTGTATTAAATATGGACCAAATGTTATTTACATCATTTAGAGATCTAACAAAAGACTTTTATTTATAGTATTGAGTTGGTCATGGCAGTATTGAATCAATTTTTTGGGTTAGGTATAAATACCCACATTTTTGGGTTAGGTATAAATATCCATACGCTTTCATAAGTGCTCCCTTTGAAGATCGAACCCATCCTCAAAGAAGGGGGAGAGATTCAAGCCCCGGGCAAAAATTGTATGCCTCTCTTGCCAAAGAAAATTTAAAATAAAAATAAATAAATAAATGGAGATCCAACCCCACGCTTTTGAGGGAGGCCAATAGGGCCCATGGCCCCGTTGTATCTTCTGTTTGGAAAAGTTTCAAACTCGAGAAATCAAAACTTTACAATATTTTACTATCATTTATTTCTCTCCACAATACTCTACAATTTATACACAAATGAGAGTTCTCTTATTGCGTGTATGTGCTCTGCAAATTGCGGAGAATGACATTGAGCTCGATAATTTTTGGAACTTTACTTCTACTCAATTTGATTATATTAATTTTTTGTCCGGCAATAAAAGTTTTAGACCTTTTAAAGTATTTCATTGTCCACTGTATATGTGACATATACAAATTTTTTTCTTTCTTGGAAGACGTATACAATTGTCTATCCTACAAATAAAGGTCAAAATTATTATACTAATTCTTTGAAGATGGTGCTAAGAGAATTCAAACTCCACCAGACCTTTAAGAATTAGAAAATGATTGTTACACCTAAGAATTGTTAAATCTATTCTTTTTAATTAGTTATTTATGCAACAAATAAGAAATGATTCTCTACTTATTTGTTTTTAATATAAATAATTAATAAAAAATTATTTAGTTAGATAATTCACTGCATGTTAGATAATTCAGTGTAAGTATTGGATGTGAGTATCACTATTCTTTAAAAATTTAAGTAGAAGAGGGGTCCCACATGAAGTAGATAATTTCTTTTTCAGAAATTCTTATTTTATTATTGTTATTTTTCCTTTCTTAATTTTATTGAATTAATTTGTTTTGTTTAGTGTCACAAAAAAAAAAAAAAAAAAAAAAATAGTTTTACTTAAATTATATTGCTCATTCGGATACTAGTGTCATTCATATTGATGTCTTATTTACTGATGTACCATTCATCGCTATTCATTGACGTATTATTCATTGTTTTGACTCAGAATATAATTTGATGTATTATTTTTAGTGTCTTGTATAGAATACAAAAAAATTCCCTAACAATTTAAAGTCATAAAGCCTTTTGTTTTATATAATTCAAAACCTTTATATATTAATTATTTAAAAGAAAAACTGTTTATAATTGAAAAGAAAAAATTCAATAAGGATTTTGCAAGTACAAAAACTGTGTAATCGGTAATAAATGAGATTCCCAATTTACTAAAATAAAAAAATAAATAAAAAATAAATAAAAACGCCATGAAGAAGAACAAGTTGTTCTTTAAACAACACCTAGAAGTTAAAAAGTAATAAACTTATAAGCATTTTATCTCAGCGAAGGAGAAAAAATATATGCGTAGTATCACTGATGAAATAAATTAGTTTAAAATTTTGTTTTAATATAATGTTTACAAAAGCTGTTTTATATATGAAAAAAATTAAATATCACTGATCAATTGCGATCTATAAGAGTGGTCTAATAGTCATAATACTCAAATTAACCAAGATGCAAATTAACGAATTTGCATAATAGTCATTCATATAAGAAATGGCTAAAGAAGGAAGTTAATTCTGTTTGGAAGGGGAAAATAGTTGACTAATTATAAAATTAAACAAAACTCTAAATTAAATTAAATGTGTGAACACCGGCATAAGTAGAATGATATGATCTTATCACTACGAGTACTAATTGGGAGTCCGATTGTAGATCACGTCAATTAATTTTATATGAGTAGGAGTTGATGTCATGATGATATCGATTCTTACTTATATAAATTAGTCAAAGTTATCCGACTTTGGAACTTTAAATCATTATTGTATCACTATCGATGTGTATATTTTATCATTTAAATAGATGTGCGAACAGTTTTTGGCATTTTAAAGTCAAAGGACGAGATTGAAGTCCTTATAGAGACAGTGAGTGTATAAGTTTCTTGCAAAGATAAATATAATAAGAATAAATAAAAATAAATGGATATTTGAAAAGTCAAGTGTATAAGAGTATTGAAGGTTATTACCAGTGGCCTTGAAAAGGGCTTTGTTGCCTCTAATCTTGGTTGGGCTTTGTTGTCTTGATTTATTTGGTTTGCCTATCTAGTCCCTTCGTAGTCTTTTGGCTCGTTAGGGAGGAAGTATTCAGTGTACCCACCATAATCCAGGGGTAGAGGGAGGGTTAGGCCAGGGGTGGCCATGGCTCTCCCAAAATTTTTGAAATTTTTTTTAGTATAGTTTAATAAAAATTTAATATACATAATTTCATACTTGGGCCCCAAGAAATTTTTTTGGAATAGGCCTTATAGGCTTTCTCTTTTTTTTTTTTTTTTTTTTTTTTGGCAAAAAATATAAAATCCTTCCCGAGTATCAAAAATCAACATTTTTCTTCCTGAATTACAAAATTCAGCAAGTCAATACCTACCTCAACTATCAGAAATAAGCAATTCGACCCCCTGACAGTCTATTCCGGCTTATTTCCGACCGCGGGAGTTAACTTTATGATATAATTCCAAAACTGCCCTTGCCATGTGACCATTGTAACCCTGCGCCTATATATATATATATATATATATATATATACATATGGGTAACAATTGTCAGAGGAGCCGATACTTAACGCCGGCGACCACAACTTCATAACGCCGAAAATCAAAGACTGTTCCGGCGATGTACGAGCAGTGAGTTGCGGACTGGCAGGACAAGGTTTTGAACAGGGGAAAGTACTGCAGCCACGAGGACAAAACAATTTTGCGCAACATCTTCCTTTGGCGAAACCCCAACCAACGACGACCACCGATCACGATCAACTGTGCAACCAAGAACCAAATCTCTGCAACAATTTCTTTTTTTTTTTTTTGGGTAAAATCTGTACAACATCTTCCTTGGGCGAAACCCCAACCAACAATGACCACCGGACGGGGATTCCGATTACCACAACAGTACCACAACTCATGTTTTCTCAGCTCTCTAATCATTGATTTGATCAATCGTTGAAGCTTCGATCTCTTATTCTAGGACAGATAATCGAATGATAACGAATTTCTTGAAAATTTGTTGTACAACTATGACAAAGAGGTCATCGGCGTCGTCGTCGTCATCATCTCCACCATCATCGACGTCGCCGGAATTGCGTCACCAAAATTGAGCCTATCCTTTACTCCCTCAACATCAACTCTCTGCCGTTGTCAAGCACGGGAAGGAGCGGAGGCTGATTTGGGCAACGAAATCATGCAAATTCCAACAACATCCCTAAACTGTACAAGAAATTCGCCGACGATATAAAGTCCGTGAAATTCATAAACGAAACAGACCTAAATCCGCCATACCTAGAATTTGACAAGCACTATTGCTCAACAGTCCCGGTGGCCTCATCGGAATCAACAATCCCGGTAGCCTCATCGGAACTCGCAACGACGTCGTCCTCTAGTACCTCCGTTCACTCTATCAATCACCCGCATCACCAACGTCGGATCTGTCAACAACACCCGATGCGACGTCATCTCCATTTTCTTCTCTTCTCTAAGCACCGAAGACCTCTGGATTTTACACTACGAAATTTTAGTAATATAAGATGTATATAGCATGAGGGTATTAATGGTATTTCCCAAATTTAGTTTTATTTGTCTTTTTTAAAATGTTAATTATAATGTGCAATTTTGTAAATGTGCAATGGCGGTGACAGGAAGGACTACCGGGGGGTCAAATTATACAATTTTTTATAGTTGTAGTACTGACTTGCTCCATTTTGTAATTTAAAAAGTAAAATGCTAATTTTTTAATAGTTGAGGAAGGTTTTATACTTTTTTGCCTATGTTTTTTTGTGCGGACAAAAGTGGATTTCATTAGTTGTTTCAGTGTGTGTGTGTGTAACTCTCTTTCTTCCCCAAAATGGTTTCATTTGTTGTTTTCGTACATTAAAATCTATAAATAGATCTAAAAAAAAAAAATGTTCCCACTCACTCTCTTTCCTCCCCAAAATGGTTTCATTTGTTGTTTCACTACGTTTAAAAAAAAAAAAGAAAAAAAAGACTAGCATGTCAAACCAACAGTGGACTAGTGAAATTTTGCTGCTTTACTATTAATTAATCACTTTTACAGTTTTACTATTTATTTTGCTCTTTGATTACTGTATTTGAAAATGTCAATAATTTAAAGATTATAGATCTGATTATTGATTTTTTTTTTTTTTTTTGTCTTTCAAAACTTTCAAGTTGCTTCAAGTAAAAATTGTTATTTGTCTGATCTATTTTCTACGATGTGTGTGTATATATTCACACACACACACACACACACAATTACATGTATATCAATTTCTTTTTTTTCTTTTTGGATGTTTTGTTCTTTTTTGGAAATGCTTTAATTCAAGATTATTGATATAAAAAATGATTAACTTACATTTATAAATGATGAATTTGTTTGTTGATTTGGGGATTAAGAGTTCCCTGTAGAAGAACACAAGATATTTCTCTTCAATTTCATATTGTTTACTATATACATATATATATATATATACTAGGAAAAGGAACGTGCGATGCACGTGGGGAATGTTTTGTAACTTATACAATTTTTATTTTCATATTTTATTTTTTCTTAATTAATAATTTTTTTATTTTAATAGTGAAATATTTGAGTTTTGCAAAGTAACAAATTCTTTTAGATAATTTGAATTTTATTAGGTAATTTGTAATTTAGTATACTTTTTAATTTACAATAGAAATTCAATTATATTAATTTTTAATTAAATTTTAAAATAAAATTTCAATTATACTAATCATACATTAGATTGAAATTGATATAAAAATTTATTATATGAAGTTTGTCATTTTTGGAAGACCCTAGCTTATATTTTATTTTCTTTAAATATACCCTTATTTAATGTGA